CGTGTCTACTGCTTCGGGTTCACGGTCTGAATCTCTGGGTTACAGTTCTGATATTAACCAGGCCTCACCGAACTTTTGTTTGTAAACTTTGTGGCCAAACTCTCACGCCCTCCGTCACTACATCCACCGCTTGCTATGACTCTTCCTACAGGTCCCCAGCCGTTACCAACACCTCTTCCCTCCTGACACCCCTGCCACCCACTGCTCCTGCCTGTCACACTGCCACCCTGTCTTATCTCACACCCTGCCTCTTTTGAGCACCCTGCCACCACCATTACTGCTACCACAATCACCACCACCACCATCTACTACCCATCACCATTACTATTACCATCACCCACCCCCTCCCCCCCCCATCACACAACAACAACATTACAATAAATACATAATTTTTATCATCCCTTCCCCTTCCTCTTCCCTCCTCCCCCCCTTCCTCACTCCCCTTCCCTCTCCTCCCATCTCCTTCCCCACCTCTCCCCCTCCCTATGCTAGCGTGTGTGTGTGTGTGTGTGTGTGTGTGTGTGTGTCTAAACACACATAGATTATATATATCAGGAATTTTACTTTTACTTAGAACATCCGTAGTGCGTGACTTTACTGGATAATAAGGACATCCACACTTTGGGACATACGCACTTTAGGACATGCATTTAGGGACATGCACTTTAGGACATACGCACTTTAGGACATACGCACTTTAGGACATATACACTTTAGGACACGCATACTATAGTATCATTTGGACAAGGTATTTTCTCTTACCTTATCAAATACAACAGTTGTGCCCCCCTCCCTCCCCCTCCCCTCACCCCCTCCCCCTCCACCGATCTTTAAAATTACCAGAAAGTTCCATTATCTGTTTAGAAATCGCAAAAGAAAATGTGGAAGTGGGGTGATTTTCTCTGACTCTCTCTCTCTCTCTCTCTCTCTCTCTCTCTCTCTCTCTCTCTCTCTTTCTCTCTCTCTCTCTCTCTCCCCTCACTGTTGGATAGGGAGGGGGAGAATAACAGTCCCGTAAATAAACGGTGAGGGGAGTTGACAGGTTGACTCCCCTTACTCTCCCCTCCCCACACCTCTCCCTCACCCTCACCCCTCCTCCTCCCCCCTCCCTCCTCCACTTGTATAAATAATGATGGGGAAAGAGAGTTGGGAGGAGAAGGAAGGAGGGTGGAGGGGGAGGGAGGTGGAAGGGGGAGTGGAAGGGAGAAGGGAGGGCGGAAGGGGAGAATGAATGGGACTTACAATGGCATGGTGTGCTCTTTAAGTAACTTTCTCATATAATGGGTTCAGTTGCAGTGAAGTTAACTAAATCACAGTCTTCTTCTTCTTCTTCTTCTTCTTCTTCTTCTTCTTCTTCTTCCTTCCTTTCTTCTTCTTCTTCTTCTTCTTCTTCTTCTTCTTCTTCTTCTTCTTCTTCTTCTTCTTCTTCTTCTTCGTTATTTTTGTCATTGCTCTCCTCCTCCCTCCTCCCCCACCCCCCTCAAGATGATGGAGAAGAGAGAGAGAGAGAATGACCCACAATTATTGGGTACCGCCACCTCCCATTCTTTAGTAAACACAGTATTGTTTCTCTCCCCTCAGCACCCACCTCCCCACCCCACCACCCCCCCCCACCACCCCCACCACCCTCCACACCACACTACCACCCCCACCCCCCACCACCACCACCACCACCCACCCCACCACCTACCACTACCCCCTACCACCCCCCACCACCAATACCCCACCACCCCCACCACCCCCCACCACCCCCACCCATTTTCTTTGCCTCGTCTTCCCGGTTTTCTTCTCTCCTGTTCAGTTTTTATTACTTGTTTCTATAAAGTTAATATCGGGTTTCTTCCTGTTTTCTATAAGGTGTCGTCATGGTTTTACTGCTACATGATTTTTGTTCTCGTTTCACCCTTGTTTCTCTCTGCCCTGAATTCTCCTGACTGTTCTCATCTGTTTCTCTGCCTGGCTTCATCCTTCTTTCTCCCTGGTTTCTCTCCTGTTCCTTCCTGCTATTCTCTCCCCGTAATCCTTGTTCTCTCCTTGGCTCCTCATGTTCTCCCTGGCTCCACCCTTGTTCTCTCCCTGGCTCCTCCTTTGTTCTCTCCTGGTTTTCCCTGACCATAGGGCTGGACACTGGTCGTTTAATAAGGAAACTCTTAATGACTGTTGTGAGAATATCTGTCTCCCTCCTTCTCCCCTCCCTCCCCCTTCTCCTCCTCCTTTCTCTTTTTCCCCTCCTTTCTCTCTTCCTCTTCCTTCCTCCTCCCCTCTTCTCTTCCTCCCTCCTTCCCCCTCCCCTTCCCCGTCTCCCCCCCGCTGTCATGGGCAACCTAGAGTAGTGACTGTGGTTGTGGTGTCTGGAGGAGGTAGGGGAAAGAGGGAGGAGAGAGTGGGGTTGTGATGGTAGGGAAGGGTGAGGGTGGATGGAAGGGGTGGGATAGATGAGAAGGGTGGGGAGGTAGTGGTGGTGGTGGTGTTGGCAGTGGTTGTAGTAGACAGAAATTGTTTTGATTACCATATTATATCCCACCTACATCATCCCCCCACCTATCACCATCCCCACCTATCACCATCCCCCATACCACCATCCCCACCTACCACCATCCCCCACCTACACCCACCCCCCACCACCCCCACCCCTACCACCCCTACCCACCCCCACCTACCACCCCACCATCCCTACCACCACCCCCACCTCACCACCTCACCTCACCATCCCCCACCTACCACCACCCCCACCTACCATCCCCACCTACCACCCCCACCTACCACCCACCACCCACCATCCCCACCTACCCACCCCACCTACCACCACCCCACCTACCCACCCCACCTACCACACCCCCACCATCCCCCCACCACCACCCCTACTACCACCCCCACACCCCCACCTACCACCACCCCCACCTACCACCACCCATACCTACCCACTTACCTCACCATCCCTAACTCACTAATTATATAACTCAGTCATCAAGTTAATTATTGTAAGTTGGAAAAGATTTAATATTATTTTTATTAATTTATCTTGTTTATTTTCAGGATTATCATAGGACATGACAGGTGGTAAACAAACAGACAGACAGACAGACAGACATTCAGATAGACAGAACCCAGACAGACAGACATTCAGATAGACAGGAAAATGGACATACAAACAGATACACAGACACACACACACACACACACACACACACACACACACATCTTCACCCTTCCTCATCAACACAATAGATGGCAAGGTCACTGAGGAGGTCACGGGAGGTCACGAGGTTCAGAGAGTATGACCTCCACCCCTTGGTATATTTCCTATAGTATTACACCCGGATATAACGGGGGGGATATACCTTCATGTGTGTGTGTGTGTGTGTGTGTGTGTGTTTAAATGGGTATTGTGTTGTGGGAATTACCTTGTGGAGCTGCAAAGGGTTAGGTTAGGTAGTTCAGGGTGAAACTATGGGCAAGTTTCTTTACGCCATTTGCCTCTGTCTACCCAGCAGTAATTGGGAACCTGGATGTTAAATCGATTTGTGGATCGTGTTCCGGGGTAATGGTTAGCCAGTGCAGTTGGCGAGTTGTCGTCGGACTATTCCTTGGCACTGGGTCATGCAGCTCGTTAACTCAGGGTGTGGTTGTTTGTTGGCGACAGCTTCAGGGTGTGGTTGTTGTGTTGGCGACAGCAGGGGTGTGGTTGTTGTGTTGGCGACAGCTTCAGGGTGTGGTTGTTGTGTTGGTGACAGCTTCAGGGTGTGGTTTTTGTGTTGGCGACAGCTTCAGGGTGTGGTTGTTGTGTTGGCGACAGCTTCAGGGTGTGGTTGTTGTGTTGGTGACAGCTTCAGGTGTGGTGGTTGTGTTGGCAACAGCTTCAGCGTGTGGTTGTGTTGGCGGCAGCTTCAGGGTGTGGTTGTTGTGTGACAGCTTCAGGGTGTGGTGTTGTGTTGGCGACAGCTTCAGGGGTGTGGTTGTTGTGTTGGTGACAGCTTCAGGGTGTGGTGGTTGTGTTGGCAACCTTCAGCATGTGGTTGTTGTGTTGACGGCAGCTTCAGGGTGTGGTTGTTGTGTTGGCGACAGCTTCAGGGGTGTGGTTGTTGTGTTGGCGACAGCTTCAGGGTGTGGTGGTTGTGTTGGCGACAGCTTCAGGGTGTGGTTGTTGTGTTGGCGACAGCTTCAGGGTGTGGTGGTTGTGTTGGCGACAGCTTCAGGGGTGTGGTTGTTGTTGGCGACAGCTTCACCTCGGTGGCCTTGGTCAGGCCATCCTCAATACACGAGAACCTATTATTATTATTATTGTGTAAAAGATTCTGTACTCGTCGCCATGAACTCAACTTATACTCGACATTGTGTACTAGCCGTCCTGTACTCAACATGTACTCGATGTTATGTACTATCCATCCTGTATTCCTGTATACTCTACATTATGTACTCAACATGTACTTGACATTACGTATTCTCCCATTATGTACTAACTTTTATGTACTCAGCAACATGTACTCAGCAACATGTACTCATCACCTTGTACTCACCAAGCTGTACTCATTACTCTCACCTGAAGATTATGAACTCTCGTCTCCAATGTAACTAAACGTATATATATATAGATTTAAATACGGGTAATTTTAATTTCTACCTATTCGTTGTAGGTAATTAATATCGATATTTTCGCTGTCTTTATAATAGAGGTTTGTTAATAGTGTATAATGAAGGAACTACTTAATGACGCTGTTGACCATTCAGAAGCCTTGTTAAATATATAAATACCACGCTTGCTGATGATGAGTTACCGATTGTTTACATTATTCACGCATTTAATTTCTATATAAACCTGTATTTTTTTATTATTTTAACTAGTATATGATATTGTATATTTTATAATTTAATTCTTGTATATTATTCATGTGGTAAAGGTTGTAGAAATAGGGTTATTAATTTCCCGGTTATTGGCGAATTGGTTACTTATTACAGCCACGAGTCGACGAAAATCCCTCAACCAACAGAGCTCAGTGTGTGTCGAGACGTGCTAGTGTGAGGGTGTGTGTCGAGATGTGCTAGTGTGAGGGTGTGTGTACATCACTCTCTCCAGATATATACTCAGAGAACGTACCGAAAAGACTAAAACCCTACAACCGCTTCAATAATGACTAAACTAACCCAATTCATTAAATACGGGACATAAATAACAGCAATAACATAATCCAGTGAGAAAGGAAGTAAAAAAAAATACCAGGAAATCAATACGGAACCTCGAGTGATTTTAGAGTTATTTTTTTTTTTTTTACGGAAGTTGAGGTGATTTTAACGGTGTGTGAGGTAGTGAGCGCAGGATGAGTAAGGAGGGTGAGGCGGCGGTGAGCTGAAGGAAGGAAGGAAGAGGGAAGGAAGAGGGAAGGAAGAAAGAATAATAATAATGGAAAGAATTAAAGGGATACAGGAATCGGTTGGAGGG